AAATTGCTATTTTTAAAAATACTTAAGTCCATCAAAGTCTTGACTTTTATTTTGCATTCTTACCATTACACAGCCTGGTGATTGCTTAGTATTTCACATGAAAATTCTTCATGGTGCAAAGCAGAGCACAGACCCATATGGAAGAAAAGTGGTTGCCATGCGCTGGCTTGGAGAAGATGCAACATTTGCCGATAGACCATGGGAACCATCACCCAATTACAATGGAGGATTAAAACTTGGTGATCACTTCTATAAAAGCGAATCTTTCCCAGTTGTTTGGAGATCAGAAAAACAAATTGGTAATTAAACAGAAACTGTCATGGTTTTCTGAGGGGTCCAGATTAAATGGTGGTGATGACAGACATCCTTGTCATTTAACTCTATGACTCCCGTAGCATCTAATTTCTCCTTACAATATCAGCCCTGAATCACACATTAGGGTCACAAGAATAAAGGAAATGATCACCAACTAAAGAAGCTCTTGATTGTTAGACAAATTCTCCTTTTCAGCAGCTCAGGAAATGTATAGAGAACAGTATGGAGAATATGTATACTGATTAATTAGGGTGCAATTAAGGGTTAGAGGGTTTTTTAATGCAGTTTTTTTGTAATGTTGTAGGTACTGCTAAATTGGCTACCTAGCTTATTCTAATAAAGCTTATTAGTTAACTCAAAAGTTTACTCAGTGTCATGTCTTTGTCTGCATTATCTCATTTGGCCTTTTATATATCTTCTCTGTCTCCTTGCAGCATAGTTGTCCTTGATCTCAGTGAAGAATCATGTCAACATCTTGAATAGTTATGTCTTTTATCAAATGAATCACTAATTGATGACGATGATGAATCATGTTTCACACACTAAGAATTACTTTGATTGACATAATGGTCATATGTTCTTTTCCTCAATTATTTAGATTAATTCTTATCAAACTCGTGATAATTTTCGGCAAGAGTACATGCATATAACCCCATACATTAATTATGCATTCAGTCTTTGTTCAATGAAAACAATAGCGATAACAATAGAACTCCTCAGAGACTAGTGGTCCTCATCCCAGTCTTCCAGCCATTTGAACTTAATGATATTCTCTTGTCTTTACATTGCTTGGTGTTACAAGATTTGCATGTCTTTCCTATAATTAACAATTATTCCACGAGCCCGCGTTGGATATGAGATGATGGATAGCCAACGAGGCGCGTAGCGCCGAGTCGGCTATAATCATCTCATATCCAACAAGTGCGAGTGGAATAATTTTTTTTATTAACAAAAATGTCCCCAAGATATAAGGCAAATCTTCTTGACTTTATTTTGTAAGAAGAAACCGGATGTTATGATGTACAGATATTAGATTATGGTATATTGGCTCATATACCATAATGGCTAAGCCAATAAAAGGTCTTGAATTGTATTATCTAATGATCCAGCTTTTAATAATTATGCATATCAGAAATATTTGGGGAAAACTGGCAGTATGAATAGACAGTTAAATACTCCTAGTGAACAGGGGAGAAAAAATGGACTGATCTCGCCACTGAAGGGGCTAGCTCATCTTATTATGGCACTAGTAACTCAGGCTCACTGTTTGTGTCACGTACACATGATTAAAAATAGAGAACATATGGGGCAAAGTTTAGGTCAATAAAGGTCAGTGAAGAAGAGTATTTTCCCTAAACTTAGTGTACATATTAAGGACGACAACAAATTGCCACATGGTAAGTTTCATTGAATTTTATTTCCATTTTCAAGCAAATTTCTAGACCTAAACTTCGCCCCATATGTTCTCTCTATTTAACCACATGTACATCACACAAATAGTGAGCCTGGGTTACCTGTGATTATGGGTGATCTCAAAATGGAATTTTTTTAAAATTTTAGTGACACGTATTGGAAAATATGGCAGAGAAATGGTCTCCCTATCTTCAAAACAAAATTGTAAGATTTTGTTCTAAGCATTACTGATATTTTTAAACAACCCATAAGATTAACAGGAAAGTCATTTATTAATACAATTATCATTACCTAGGCTGGTCATCAGATCTGCAGCAATGACTAGACTTGTTTTTGTGTCTTTTCTGAAAAGCATAG